TCAACGTGGCCTGATGAGCGGTGCTATGTCCGCGCCCAGGATCCGAACCCTGGGCCACCGCAGCGCGAACTTAACCACTCAGCCACAGAGCCGACCCCGAAAATAACTTTTTAACAAGGGTGGAGATGAGCACAAATAAATTAAGAATATAAATGGAAGAATAATATCAAGGAGTTTGTTAATTACATCCATTATTCTAAGATGACATACTCCAGTGTCAGCGTCCACTGAAGGGGGCTAAACAAGTAATTTCATTATCTAGCACAGTTAAGGCACAACATGGGAGCTTGATAGAGATTTGTTGAATTTATAAGAGAAATTAGCTCAGCTAGTGGATGCTACAATTTAAAATCAGCCAGTTTTCAAGAGCTAGTCTTAATTTATCAATGAGTCAAAAAAGAAAAGGCCAATAATATCCTATTTTCATATTTTGTGACGGAGAAATTTGGGTTCTCATATAAATATCAACTTTGAACATTTGAATAGATTCAAAGATTGTTTTCAAGATAAATCTTGACCAATCCATATAAAGGCTTTTGTGTCTGTGGCGGTAGAGAGCCCTGTACAATAAAAAATATGGACCAGGTTTCTCAGCTCAGGAGTTGGCATATCAAAGGCATACAACAAGTGTGTGAAAAGTTTATAAGTGATCCGAGGAATACAAAATTAGTTAAACATCCTTGGAATTAATAAGCTATATTTCTGCTTCCTCTGGTTCCTATCAACAATATTCAATTTTTAATAAATAAACACAGGGTTGTTTTTTTTTTAACTGAGCATAGCAAAATGAGATTAACATTGCACCTTATGGCCTTAAAAAATTTTAAGAAAAATTTTCAGCTAACTTTAAGATTGAGGGTTACAATGTCATATCACCTAAGCAATCAACTGTTTTCCTTCTAGCACCGCACAGCTATCTGAACACAATCAGTTTTTTTTTGAAGGTGCAACGAGATGATTTTAATTTAGTTGTTCTGCATTGAATTTTTCCATTTGTGCGACTCAGCATTCTGGACTAGAGTTGTTGAAACATGTCAGTTTTCCAATTCCGTGACTTTCTTTTTGATTATGAATCTCTCTGATAATACTATACAGCTAATTTATCACATTTAAACCTCTATCATCTCTCTTGTCATCACAATCAAGTTATAGAGTCTCACTTGGCAAAAATGGAAATAGATAACTTCCTCCCCCCTCAAAATAGCAATAACCAACCAAACAAATGTAATTTAACTGACTCTACCTGACATAGCAGACCATTAATGTTCATTATTCTAGACAAAGAGTGTAAGGTCAAAAGAATAATGATGTTTACAATGAAAAAGAATAAAGTAAAAAAGGAATTGTTGAGGAAAAACTTCCTCAGAATAGTCATTTGTTCATTCCTTAAACATGTATTGAATGGTTTCTATGTGTCTGTTACTGAGAACACGAAAATATGTAAGACACAACCCCTGCCATCAGGGGTTCCCAGAATAGTAGGTGAGCTACACAATTAAAGAAAGTAGCATAGATGACTTATGAGGTCAACCTTGCAGGAGAAGTAGGATTTGCCCACAAAGGAGATGAACAATGAGCATTCTGAGCCAAAAATAAAAGTAGGGAGACTAGCACAGAGGTATGATAGTGTGTGGAATATTCTAGAGGCACTAATTATATGTGATTAAAGTGCTGGTGATGACCGGTAAAGTAGTGAAGACAATTTTAGAGAAACAGATTGAGGCTTTGTGACACGCTTTTAAGACATACCCAGGAGTTTATTTTGAAGGGGAATGGTGAGCCACTAGAAATTTTTAAGTAGGGGAGCAATCCCATTCATGTCTATGATTTTTAGAAGATAGGTGTGTTGGTCCCCAAATGGGAGATACATTGGGGAGCAGAGCCTAGAGGCAGGAGAACAACTGGGAGACCATAGTAATGCCCAAGAGCGATGATGAAGACCTGAAGCAGAGCAACTGCAAAGAGAATAGAAAGGAAGGAATTTATTTAAGATACTTTCTTAAATGTGGTGATACTGGATATGGACCAAGAGAAAGCAGGAAGGGTCAAGGTCAACAGCTGAGAGTGAAGGCAGTGGGGGTGGATTAGAGAGACTAAAGAAATTATTCAGGAAAGGGGCCAGCTAGGGACAAATAAAAGGACTGCTAAGTATTGTTGACAGCTCAAATAAGGTTAGAAAACACGCATCTTCCAATCAGCATGCACTTGCAAATTTCTCTGAAAAACCGAAACAGATGAGGTCATGACTAAAATTTCAAAATCAGAAAAACTACCTGAAATCATCAATGATATCAATAGTCTGCCTGACACCTTGTCTAGAATGAGGAGTGTAAAAAAAAAAAAAAAAAAAAAAGACCATAAAGGCAGTAGAGTGAATTTCCCTTTCTGGGAACAGTAATGAGATAATTTGCACCAACCCTCCCACTGGGGTAACTAAAAATACTTAAAATATAAAAACAGCATAGAGCTTATAAGACAGTGAGGACTTCGCACGTGGAAGTTTAGGAGAAGACCAGAACTCAGAGAGGGGAGCTCATCTTTGAAAGCTTTTGCTCTTGGGCAAATGTGTTGATCTTGATGGAACAAAACCCTTGGGACCCCAGCTGCACTTTGGGCAGCCTTATGGGTTTTGTGGGAACGTCAAAGGTCATGGTCCTCAGGTGAGGACCCAACTAACCCAACTTTAACTTGGGATCTGAAAAGGCCATATCTTCCTTCCAGGTAGGAGTGAACCCTGAATAAACCATTCCTTCTATGGATTTGCAGCCTTGCTTCTTGCACAGGAGTGATCCAGGGAACCTCAGATGTTGTTCTTTGACTAAGGTGATCCTGGTCTGATGTCACCCCCAGGTGCCTGGCAGAAGCAAATCAAGGTCCTCTCTGGAGGAAAATATCATAACCACTACGTCTCAACTTATTCTTTCACGTAGTTTTTAAAATACCTTTCCAGCAGACAGCCAAAGGTATCCAAGCCACCAAGAAAACAAGACACCATGAGTGAGAACTGGCAGGAACAGTAATAATAGAAACAAATCCAGTAACACTTGAGATATTACGATTAGCAGATATATATTATGAATCAACTACACTTACGATAGTCAAAGAAACAAAATCCAAGCTTGACAATTTCAGCAGGGAACTAGACACTGTGAGTGACATAATAGTAGTAGTGAAATATGCGTCTGTCCCTTTTCCTGTCAACACTATTTGGCCACATAGTTTACAATTCTTACATTTTAGAATTTAAAATTTGTAAATGTGTATGTACATGTGTGTGGTAAGCACACACATGCATGTACTCACAAATTCCTTAGAAAAACCTATGATTTCTGCCAGGCTCACTCCTCTTGCCAACAGTTCAGGACACAGCCGGGTAAAAGAGATGAAAGGATGTCCAATGTCAGCAGGGAAAATTTACAAAGCTACCATCCACTTGTGGAGAAACGAAAATTAATTGCAACTTTTACAACCTTATGGGTTAATTATAAGTAATAGGGAAGGTTAACCCTGATTTAACAAAATTACCTAAACTGTTTGGAGGTTAGATATTTACAGTAAAATGCAAATATTCTGATGGACTTAGTGCATGGACTTTAAAACACGCTACAGTCAGACTCGTTCTTGAAGATACGTCTTGACTGCAAGAAAGGAGAGTACCGACTAGTGATATTCATCAGGGGTCCAGAGGAAGAAGGAAGATTGAAGGGAGAGAGGGAAAATGGTCAAGTAAAGAGGGAGGGGACATCCAAATTGAGCTCTGCCAACGTCACATTTTGTTTGGTCTTGCTAGATTATTTGGTAGTTGAAAAATCAAGTGACTCTATCAACATAATGCTCAGCTTTCATTTTAGAAGAGTAACAGTATATTATTTATTCTTATCAAAGTTGAGTGAAAGATCCATATTAAGACATTCATTGTTTGTACCTACTTTAGCCAACTTAGTTCATTAGAATCCTGTCTATTGGACAGAGCAAAAACTGGCCAGTTACATTTAACAACTGTTCAGCCCCACACTCTGTAATAAGAACGTCAGCAGATTTATTTTCCCCATATAAAGTAGAATTTCCAATTCACACCATGTGCTCTGTGACTATTATGGACAGTATTTATTCAGAAGGAATGCTGTGCAAGTTTGGAAAAGCTGTTTCTAAGAGCAGAGCCGAGAGGTCACTTGACAAAACGAGAAACAAAACCTATACATGGTCAAAACACGAAGAGAACTAAAGTTTGTCATTCTTTCTTTTAAAGAAAAACGTTTTGAAAACCTTAAATCACAACATGGCAACAGCAAACTAGACAACGCTCCCCGTCTCTCCTCCACCCTCAAGCTCAGTCTAATCAGAACGCTCCATTCACTTAGCAAACTCTCAGGGTTTTTTTTTTTTGGAGGAGGACCTGCTTGGACTTAATGAGGCGACGCCAAAAAATAACTTCTATTAATAAATTGTTCTCTTCAATGGAAAATTGCCTAGTTTTTCTCATTAGTTTTTTAAAAAATAGAATATCTTCTAAAGGCTCCTTATGCACTTTATACCACCTTTAGGCCACCTCTTTTTCTCCTCTTGATTTTTTTTTCATTTGTTAAATTAGGAAGTACCACGGTGCCAAGGAAGAGAAATAACGCCGTCTCACAATAATACACTTGCATCCAATGTCATCCTGGACACTAACATTCAGTCTGTGTTGTGACATTTACCTACTGACATTGTAATTCGATAAATGCAGGGTGTTCAAGGAGGGCTCAAGAGAGGGAAAGCAAGTAAGGATAAAGCAAAACTGAAGTTAAAGATGTGTAAGGTACATTTCAAAATTAAGCTGAAATACCCTATTTCTCTCTTCTGCACAAAATGTAAAATGTCAAATATCTCAAGAAAGGTAAGAAAGTTACAGCCCTGGAAAATTTTCATTATCACTTTTTCATTCACACAAATAAAAAGAAAAATTCAACATTAACCTTCCCAGAGAAGCGGTGAGCCTTAAAACCAATCTTTTCACTTACCCTAGAGTATGTACACCATGACCTCTTAAATCCTGTTAATTCCAGTACATCCCGAACATATATGAATTCTCAGCACATGCACTTAAAGAACAAACTTTAACCAAATTGTTAATTACAACAGAGATCATAATAGAACTCTGAAATTCTAGAGAGAGATATGAGTTTAAAATCCAGCTTCTAGATCCCGGTGTAAACTGTGTCTATCTTTAACTTGAAAATGATTTGGTTTCACATTCCATTGAAGTCCCACTGGCAGATGCCTTTGGTAAACTGACCAATGGCAGGCTTTCAAACACCCTCCCTCCACCCCCCTCCTCCCTCTGACTAAGCTTCCGCTGTTACATCTAATGCTGATTTACTCAGCTGTCTTTTTACCTGTCTCTGCCTGGGGAAAAGGAGCTGCTTTCATTGATGGTTATTACGGAAGCACTTGGAAGCTGAAGATCAGCCGGAGGACTCACTGCGCTTCCCCCCACTGCCTCCCCTCCCCCGACTTACTGCCAGAAACCAACTGACTTCCAAACTTGGCCGTCTGAAAAAGAATGTTCTCTGATTGGCATTCCTGGAAGCAGAAAGCAAGGCAGCTCAAGTTTTGTTCTGTTACTCAGCATGAAAAACTTCCCAGGTAGATATAATACAAACAAGTAAGTTTCCTGGATATTTTCTTAACTTTGAGGAGAATGAGAAAATATTTAGGGGCATTACAAATATTTTTCTTGTCACATAGCATTTAAGTTTTAATATTCACATAGAATTTTACCCAAAATGGCTACGAATGCAGTAAAAAGGTGAATTGGCAAATCTTTTGTTAAAAGTTGCATTTCCTTATTAGTAAATGAGTTGGGACCCAGCAGAGGAAAAACAGTCATGCTGCCTGCTTGACAGTATTCTGGAAGGCTGCTGTTCAATCTGTGGCTTTTTTGTGAGAGAAAACCTTGCCCCTAGGAATTGTGGAAAAACTGATTTCAATTGCCCTATATTTTATGTTGCAGACAGCAGGAGGAGAGGGTGCACAAATGCTTCCAGCTCCTTGTGAAGTCTTCTTTTCCAAGACTGTCGCGTGAACTTTGGTGAGGACTGGAAAGAACTGTGTATTGTGTACAATACACACACATCTGAACAGAGAAAAACTGAGCTAACGGAAATGAGGAAAAAATATATTTCCACAAATAGGGTCCGACAAGGTTTAATAAGGTGGAGTCCCTTCAAATCACTACTAATAAACTTGTGTTTAATATTTATTTAGTGGTCCCTGGGGCCCAAAGACCTACTGCTGCTGAAAATAATTTACTTCTCCATGTTCAGAATAGGGAATTTATTACGTGCAATTTTATGGATCAGACAACTTCTTGAAAGGCTTGATAAAGGATTTATAATTTCAGCAATCAAGCAAACCACACGCCCAGGCATTTTGGAGTTTCCAAATTTCCTCTGGCTGTGGCTGCCAACTCTAGGCAACTGTCAGCTGGCTAGGCTCAGGGTAGTAGTGTGGCCGCAGCTGCTCCTTGCAACTTGTACAGACATCTCAAAAATATTCAGCAGCAAAAGGTTGTCTCCAAAAAGAAAGCTTTCTCTTTGCTTGTTTGTGGTTGGTTTTAAATTTTGTGTTCCAGGTGGTCTCTTACCACATCTGAACAAGACCACTTCAAGAAACTATGAGTCAAAAACTTGATTAACTGGCATCATATTACTAATTTACTTTAGTGATATTTTGATGCCCCACATAGATTGGCATCCTACCAGCTTGCTCACTCCTTAACTTGTTACTAGATGCCCTTAAAAGAAAAAAAAGACTAAAAGAATGAGGCAGAGAAGGAAGAAAACTTCTTTATTCTTATTCCCAAAGCTGATTATCTTAAGGAAATTTTAAGCTATATGCCATGTTGACCATAGCGGCATCCAGATGAGTCAGAAGTAAATAGAAAGAAATAAGCACTCACCAGAGAGCACACATCCCTGTCCCTGTGTTTCTTCTTCCCTCCATCAAAACACTCCTCCCCAAGGCTAACGGATGGAGTCAAAACACATGTGAACCAAGAAGAGTGGACAGAGTTGGCAGCAGGCCATCTGGCTCGCATTCAGCCACACTATTCACTTATGTTGTATCTTTGAGTGAACAGTAGCTCATAACTGAGGTGCACGAAATGTTCGCTAAAACTGAAGAATTACTTGTGTAAAAGTGTATATTTTAACCTATGGAAAATGGTTACAAGTTGGCTCACATTTTAGATAAATATATTTTGCATTTACCTTAATAACTTTTGCAGAAAAATTATATCTCTTTTCAAGCCATTAACCAAAAGATTATCTGGAAAGTATGTCAGGTACTGAACATCTCTATTGAAGCCAAAAAAAAGAAAATCATATATTTTGCGTCTGTGTGAGTGATTGACTCTAAATGCCAACATGGCAAATAATGCTGAGATCGTTTCTGTTGATCTTACTGGCTTCTAAGAAAAATAGAGGAAGAAGGAAATTTTAGGTCTTTCTAATATTGCATATTAACTAGTAAACTCTAACAATTTTCTTTATTGAATTGTTACTGGCCATTCCTCATAGTGCAACATTCATTAATCAAATATCTCCTTAGGTTCCCCACTTTATCTCCCCATATATTTTCATCTGTGCTGATCATGGAAATTCCAGAACAGTTTGCAGAATTCCAGAACAGAACACTAATGTTAGTGGTAGCATTAGTCCAAACTCAAGGTTGAGTGAGCACGATGGGATTTTTTTCCTTCTTTTTTCCCCTCAACATTCACGAGGCAATTGATAAGATTTATAATGGCTAGAAGTTAGTCTTTATCATGAGTAAATGTTATTTTTCTCTTTCAAAAGCACTAACATGAGAGTTAGGATTTGATCAGAAAAATAGTTTCCAGGGCTTGCTTCCAAAGAAAACTGGGCATGTAACAGGCAAATCAAATACCCTTGATTTATCATGAACAAGCAGTTAATCTCTGCTCCATTCTCCAGAAATAGACTGTATTAGCACATTCCGTGGATGGCAAATGCTGGTAGCAGACTCCTTGCAGGGATGAACAAGGTGTTCAAACTCTGGTCCCAGCTGATCTGTGAGGCATCCAAGTAAATGAAGAATCCGATCATTGATAAGCCAATGGTCTCTGTTGTTTTTCCTCTCTGGCATCTTTCAGAGACTAGCATAGATGGTATTCTCAGGGTGGTGAATTTTTTTTGTGTTTTGCATATCATTTATTTTTTTTAAAAATATACTATTTGCTATAGTCCGAATATTTGTGTTTCTTCAAAATTCTTATGTTGAAACTCAATCTCCAAAGTGATGGTATTAGGAGGTGGGGCCTTTGGGAGGTGATGAGGGTGAGCCCTCATGAATGTGATTAGTTCCTTTATAAAAGAGGTCTCCCTTGTCCCTTCTACCATGTGAGGACACAGCAAAAAGGTGACCCTCTATGAAGCAGGAAGTGGCCTTCACCAGACAGAGAATCTGTTGGCGTCTTGATCTTGGACTTCCAGTCTTCAGACTGTGAGAAGTAAATTTCTGTTGTTTATAAGCCAGCCAGTCTATGATATATTGCTATAACAGTCTGAAGAAACTAAGACACGATGTATACAAAAATGAGATTTTTTTGGTGGGAGGGAGATCAATACTGGGCTTTTTTCCTAAGGAAAAAAGTCTTAAATCCAGGTAGTAATTGTTTGAAAAGAAATTAAAATAGACGATGCCCCCCCAAAAGTAGAAAAAACTATACATAAACAACATTAGAAAACAGGGGCTTGAACAGCAGATATGGAAGGGATTCAAAATAGCAGCTTGCTATGTATAATCTTATCAAATGCCAATCAATTTAAAAATTGGATGAAATGGGCACCCACATTGAATGCCTATGGTATGAAAACAGCCCTAATTATGGAAAGGGCTAGATGTATAAATATACTAATTATAACATCATATTTGGTAAAGAATAACTGGGAACAATGATAGTTTTGATGACAACAGAAAGACATGAGCTAACAGTTAGGCTAAAAATCATAGCATATAAATGTACATGTGCCATGATTTCAACTATGTTAGAACATCTGTGGGCATTAGAAGGAAAGATAAAGGCTAGAAGGAGTCCTATCAAAATGACGTATGGGTACCACCCCCAAATATTCAAATAAGAGTTAACTGCAGCCTTTCCTCGTTCCTTCACTCTCTTCCGTGTCTTTGAAGAGGCATCTCTATTTCTCTCCTCTGGATCTGCTGTATGGCAGGTGGGTTCTTGGGAAGTGGGTGAAAGGAGAATGGACAGGGTCTTCAATGTGGAAAGAGACATAAAAGAAGCTTAAGGGCGTTATGTTGATTTTAAGGAAAGGACAGGGAGGGAAATACCCAAGAAAGAGAGTGATCTTATAGGAGCCAGTCAGAACAAGGGAAGGGAGAGGGGAACAGAATCAGGCATACTAGAAGTGAGGACCAGACTGTAAGCCAAACTGAGAAGCAGCTACTTTGACGAGGCAGATTTGAGAAGAGCAAAGTTCAAAGCGGAGGTTTAGGGCGTCTGGTCCTAAGACTTTTGGCTGTGTGTTTTGTGATTTTTTCTCATGAAACACTTAAGATAGGTCTTTATTTTTCAAGATCTGGTAGTGTCAACTTTTTGTGTCTTTTGGACACTTCATGATCTTGACATGGATTTTAAATCTACAGATATATTTGGTTACATAAACATTTTTGAAAAGTTAGACTTGTTTTGTCATGTTGTATGGTTGCTAAAATTGTTTTTCTTTGATATGGGTAAGAAATCGGGCCAGCTCTGGGGGCCTAGAGGTTAAGTTTGACACGCTCCACTTCAGCAGCTTGGGTTCCATTCCTGGGTGTGGACCTACAGCACTCATCTGTCAGTGGCCATGCTGTGGCAGTGGCTCACATACAAAAAGAGGAAGACTGGCAACAGATGTCAGCTCAGGGTGAATCTTCCTCAAAAAAAAAAAGAAAGAAAGAAATGGTCTTCACTCTTGTCTAAATAGACTTTCCTGACCACTTTGCTCTCCTTGCATTTTGTTTCCTGTATCTCTCTCGGTTCCCATGATGGGTATCTATTACAATCTCTTGGGCTGAGCACTATATGTGAAGGGATCAACCATCCCAGTTTAACTGGAACTGAGGGATTTCCAAGGATACAGGATTTTCAGTGCTGAAACCAGGAAAGTCCCAGGCAAACCAGGATGAGTTGGTCATCC